TAAAGGCTATTTTTTAGCAAAATTTTAACGAAAAAATTAATGTATTGACTTTAGGTATAGTCTAAATCATATTATATATGCCATTAAAATTTCAAATCCATATCGTTTCCCTTTCTCCAGAAACACCCTGTATAGCATTATATTAAATATAAAAAAATGAAAAGTAACTAATTACTAAAACAAATGAATAAAAAAATACATATATAAATAGCCGATCACAATTCTAATTTATTTATTGGGTAAATATTACTTTCCTCAGTTTGGAATTAAAATTGAAGCTTGCTTATCGAGTACAAAAATAAATTGAAGCTTGGTTGGGAGGAAAAATAAAATCAAAGTAGGTTATAATTTCTAACTTGCTGACACTGTCTATAATTATTATTTAGTTTATTCATTTTAATAAATTAATGTTTTGAGTTTATATTATCTTTCATGCTTACAATAATAGGTTACCATAGAGAAGTTTATGATGCCTACTATGATCAAAATTAGTAAAAAAAAATTTAATTATAAATAAAAGTAATTTTAGTGCTATCTATGGCGATTTTTTAAAATAAATATGTAAGAAATGTATGTTATATATAATATATTATATGTAATATATAATGTATAATATGTATTATATAATACATTATCTTATAAAACTAGATAAAAGAATATATACTTTGTAAAACACGTTAGTATTATGCCCTTTGAAGGCCTAACTTAAAAATGATGTCTCTCGTAGAAACATAATTTGCATGTGGAAGTTTATATATCAAATAATAGTTAATTATCAGTACTTTAACGTGATATAGTCAAAAATTGGTAAAATTTTAAATTAAATTGTCCCCAGCGCCCCCTGTATGTTAAAATTTTTTATTTTAATTTTAAATCGATACGTTTTTAAATAAAAATGTTATTACAAAATATCGAAATTTATCTATTTTTAACACAGTAGAGTGACTTAAGGCCTGAAAACCACAGCGGTCAATGGATGAAATTTTTGTTTTGAAATGCACCATTTAGATGTAAAAACAAGGTTAAAAAAATATATTTAATTCTGGCATTACTTGCAAACAAATGTCCAAAATTTGTTCGATTTTTACGCGAAACCATAGTTAAGAGACAGACACTTCACTGAACGGTCAATAAAAGTTTTTACATTTAGAAGTGAATATTTGTTTTAAATCATATGCTAACAAAGAAAATTAAAAAACTTTCATATATTGATACTTGCTATTTTTTAGAATAAATAAAAACTATAATAAACTGAAAAAGTTTGAGAAAGTTTATGAACATTTCTTCTATAAACACTTTTTAATTTTAAAGGATAAAAGGATAAAATCACTTTTTCATAATCTGTACTGAAAAGTTTAATAAATTTGTCTCATACTTCTGCCGGTCACTGAGGGTATTTAGGATTTTCTTAAACCAAACTAAAACCAAATTAAACTACATAATTTAATGTACTTACCTGGATTAAAATTCCAATTACAATATAAATCGATAAAAACAGCTTCATTTTTAATTTTATATTATATTATTAAATATAAAAAATAATGAACTAAACTATAGAATAAAAAATAAAAGGTTTTTATACCTTTGTAGGTAAGGGTACTCGAGGATAAGATTTATCTTAAAAAATTGTATTCAAGTAAAGTTTTCTAAATATTATATCTATGCAATATCAGTTTAATTTGTTAAATTCCGTGTAATGATTATTATTTTGATTTATTTTATTAATTGTGCCTATACAGGTTTAAAAAAGTATATTAAGATATTTATTTGTTTTTCATTTGTGATAATGTGAAAATTGAAATCAATGAGGAGGATCTCATTCTTAATAAAAAGAGTTTATACGTAGATAGGCTTTTTTTAGGTGTCAGCAACCCATTTAACGATATCATAAATTAAAAAAATTGTAGATTTTTTAAATCACCTTAATATTTAATATATCACATACAGTAGGGTATCATCTAAATTATTTTTGTACAAGTCATTTAATACACACCATAATATACAGATAATCTAATTAAACTGTACTTAAAGTGAAATTAAAATTGATTAAATGGATTCCAGGAAATAATACTTAATTGAAATTTGTAAATTGTTTATTGAGTTAGTTAGTAGTCATATTATGTATATACAAAAGTAAGAAACCATACAAACATTTTGGCTAGAAGCTACACCTTTTATTTACTCTTTTAAAGAATGTCCAAACAAAGCGTTAAATTTGAAATTAAAAAAATATAATGAAATTTAATTCTCAAGTGTTTTATTGAATAATTAAAATTAATTAAATGTGTACTATGCACTTTGAGATAACTTAAATCAGAACCTCTAGGGGGCCACGTCAAATTTCATTTAAATATTTTTTTAATTCACGATTATATTCATTGTATTAGATATAAAACTAAAATATACGCTTTTATAGCAAGAGAATAATATTGCATACCTATATTGAAACAACTTAATAACAAACAAATATACTTCATTGTAAAACAATTCTTCAATGTCAAAAATGTGTATTTTTAAAAAACATTATTGGAAATTGCTTTAACTAGATGATTTGTTTTAAAGGTGTTGTTTTCCAAAGAAGAATGATGATTTACCTTCTGGTCAAAGTACCGCAACTCCACATTTGCCAGACATAACCTCGTGTGACTTTTTTACTGAAACAAAATAAAGAGGGGGATGGCTATGAAGGGGACAAACCTAATTTTGATTGAAAACAAAATCAACAATGTTTTGATACTTTTAAAACAAAAAATTATATGTATTGTATTTGTTTCTTTTACAGGGTGAACCAAATATCCTTCTATTAGTGTTTTTCAAATATTTTGAGAACCGCTGGGTTGTTTTACAATTTGCACATAGAAGGATAAGTATCCTGTATTTTATAAACTTTTTAATTGTTAATTAACATATTTTTAATACTGTTTTTTATTTGAATGTATCTGTTTAAAATAGTTTTATTTATATATAACAACATTTAAGACAAATAAAAAATTTTATAATAAATATAAAGGGCGTATAGATTAACTATTTTATTTTGTATGAATTTGATATGTTAAATTTTGCAAAATTATTAAATACTATTTATTTTTAAACAATGAAAAAATACTGCACTAATAATTATTATAATATTATAAGACACCCAGACATTTAACCATTTAACACTCAAATAGAAACAAAATTCCAGTTAGGTATTTCTTTACTTAAAACACGACAAAAACTATCGTTTTTGCTTATAATTAAAAAACAAAATGTAAGTAAAATATCAAATAAAACAGATGTTTGATAGATAAAAAGGACAATTTAACACTTAAACAACATTTAGATATATACGTTTTTTTAAATAACATGAAGTTCCGAAAAATCAGCCTTTTGTCAATCACAAAAGTTGAATGGAATAATATCACCAAAGTTTTCATAATAAAGATAATGAAATTGTTGAGTTTTTCGGGTTTGAAAAAATATTCATGTTTAAAACTAAAAACTGTCCGACAATATTTTATTTCAATTATGCATTTAAAAATGCACACGAAAGTAAGTGGGCGACTGAAAATCTTTCGTCACCGTGTGAAATATTCACCCACTCTTAAAACCGAATGCTGTATACACCAAAAATGAAAATACGGTATATTATTGACCCATGAAATAAAATTTTGGGCAGTGTCGACTAAAACAAGTTTTTCAACGTTAAATCTAAAAATTGCTTTTCAAAGAAGTTACATCTATGCATATTATTATACAGTATTTGGTGTTTCAATATTTGTGCATTTCGTTTTGAAACACCTTATGCCTCAAATACTTGATTGTCAGCTTTGAAAAAAAAATTGCATTTTTTATAATAAAAAAAAATATTGCAGATGTACCATTAAAACTATAAGACAATTTTTTTATAATTTGCGTGGACAAAATTCTTATCTTCACAAGTTTAAGTCTTAAATAGACGACGCTAAAAGCTAGGTAAGATTTATATAATTTGAAAATTTATCTAAGAATAAGGGTTTACAACCCCCATGTCGTATTTTAGGTGGAAATATCATCTATAGAAGTATACATACCTTTGGATTTATAAGTCAGGTTTATATTGTTGCGGTTTAAATCTCCCGCGCTTCTAAAATAATTTATGGTGGCAACACTGAGTGTTGGTGCAATAGAGACGTTCTTTTTAGTTAAAAATGTAAAGATCACTGTTTAGTATATATTTGTTATTCAACCTTCTTTACCAAAGGTATTTTTTAACCCTTAAATATGACACAAGAGTTGTACCACCCCATACAATTTTTTTTATTTAAGTAAAATCACAGTGCTAAGTTAAAGTTATTTCTTAGTAAGTGCTTTACAAATATAAATACGTAGGTATATAATATAAACTTTCTTAGGTTTTAGATATGAACGTTTTTGAAACACATTTCCTCTAAAGCTATTGCATTTTGTAGCAAAGTTAAAGCCGAGTTTAGAAAGAAATAATCATTTGGTCTAAGAAATTAGCATTTTAACAAAGTATTGTTAATATGTAATTTTATGACCTTTATAAATGTTAAACTTTATACAAATATTGTATATTTACAAAATAGAAACTCGCGATATCAGTTTACGGTCCCCTTGTAACCTATTTGTTCCTGTAAGCGATATATTTTCCACGAAAGCCATTAGGTTCAATATAAAGTTACTGAAAAATAATTCAATACAGGTTGTTCCAAATAATTATTATTAACTTTGGATTGGGATCAATATCTTTGTTCATGGTTCACATATACCCTACTTTTCCATTAAATATCATTGGAAATGTTAGGATAATTTGAAGCACAAGCTTGATTGGATATGGTCTCTTTCACATATCCAACATTCAAGAAAATCTGATTACATGGATACTAAACGTAATCTGCCAAAACCCATGCACGTATCGAAAGAGCAATTCATCGTCAACAAATAAAAATCATAAATTGTTCAGGAGAAGCGTGGTCCAATTTAATAGCCTTAATATTACCACAAAAATGTTTTGACGCAAGAAATCTAAAGTAACTGATCTTGTGTTCTAAACCTTTTTCTGCAATATCAACGAAGCATTTAGACTTAACAACTCAATATCAAGCAGTTTCATTTAGCAATTTAACTTTAAGCGAAAGCTTAATACTGCCTTGAGTTGAAACTGTACTGCCTCCCGTTCGAAATAATAAGTTCCCTGGTTTCAGAGGGAGTTCCGGGACTTAAGCTGGCCGTCGTGGTATTGGACATGGTCTCTTTCAGATCCAAGCTGCGGAATTCCATTTCGGGCCGTTCGAAAACGTCCTCCTCGAGGATTTTTTCCAGTTGTATGTCTCCGTTGTGCGCGTTGGAGGTGGTAGAAGGTCTTGTTGGAGGGGAGTGGATGGGGGTTATGTCGGCTATGCCGCGGTCTTTGTCTTCCCGTTGCTTCTCCAAAAAGCGTCGGTGGTGCTTGGTGGTTAGACCACCAGTTTCAAGGTCTCGTTCTAGTCTGTGACCCGAACGGGACCTCGTCAGCTGTCTTTCAACGTAGTCCTGCAGTTCGTCCTCCTCACGCCGACCCATAACTCTGTTGAGAGCTATTAGGAACACTCCCAGTGCTGTTACAAATATCCCTGTCACCACCATTTCGTTCCACCAACCACCACCCCTCCATGTTACCACATCGTCCGGCAACAAACCCGAACCTATTAAAAATATACCCAGCACCAAAAAACACACCCCCAAATGCAACATCCCAATCGAAGTAGCCAAGGTGCTATCCGCTGGGGCTTGACTTGGTATGTGCTTGTTGGGTATCCTCTCAATTGAATCCATACTATCCACACTCGTCCTCGAAGACAATCTCCGTTCAGCGGCCTTCTTCTTTTGCTGCTCGCGCAATCTTCTCTGCCGCTTGATGGCCATGGCCGAGTGGAGACCTGCCGATCCATGCATCTGGAAGACAGATTTCATTTTCAGTACCATGTTGTCACGTCTTCATGCACAATCATCAACACTGCACTCTATCACTCATCACTTTTGCACTTTTTGAAAAAATAAAGTCCCTGTAATAGATGTTAGTGATTATCAAGGTCTGATTTTACAATTTTAACTCGTTGCGCATTTTCGTAAACCGTTAAGTAAAAATGTCAAAAGAGTACAAAAACGAAATATGAAGTCTCTAAATTAAAACATTTCAAAAAATTTAATTTAAAATTTAAAGTCTGGTTGACCCTATGTTTTTATAAACTGGATTTTCAGAACGACACGTTAAATAGAAAACCTTTTGTTCGACACAAGCTATAGTTTGTTTTTGTTTTTATACAATGAAAATTACTATATAAATAATTTGGTTTTATGTATGTTTATAATTATTATATACAACCATATTTTATTTAATTATTACCTATTTCTATTTATTTAAAACATTAAAGGGACATTATCTTTTATATACATTAATAAAGCCAACCAAGCAAACACCTTAAAACATGCAAAATTAAAATTAAACGGGTTATAACTTATAGTTAAGTTAAGTTATAAGTTAATTATGTGTACCACTGTAAGATTATTAAAAACTGGCCTATTTCCTAGGCACTGACAGATAGCCTGCTTTGGCCTGTATAAGCACACTTGATACACGCTGCCGGTCGCCTTTATATAAGCAACTGAGGAGATCTGCAAATACCCTCCTACTAAACAATCTGTGTGTTATTAAGATTCTAATTGTTTAAAATGAATTCAAAAAGTTATTTAAATAAAATAACATTTAAATCTGGCGGGAAGCAGGGAACTAAGCATTTTTAAAGTTGGTAATGTAATTGACGTAGGATGCCGAACACTTGGCGTAGAATGCCGAGAGATAAAAGGAAGGGGGAAGGAGACGGCAGTTAAGACGGGAAGGGAAGATCGGGCATTCTAGAAAAACGGGTGTAACAAACAGCAGGTGAAGTGCTTTATATTACAGGTTTGTACATTCTAATAACAAAATTATTGTAGTACAAATAATCCCGAACAATTTGGTATAATTAGTTTACACAAATGCCTTGTGTAAAGATAAATATTCGATCAATTGACTTGGCGTCATCGATCTATCTATTCCGCCATGATGGTTGCTGTTTAATAAACGACGCATAATCGAAATAATGTAAATTTACGTTTGAACAGTCTCGCATTACGTAAGATGCTAAATTTTAAACATTAAGTACTTATCTAATTAAAAGGTCAGGGTTGTACTTGATTTTATCTAATTAAAATGTCAGGGTTGTACTTGATTTAATCTAACTATTTTAATAAATATTTCTTAAAGGGGATTTACCATAAATACTGCGTAAATTAAATGTACTTGATATTTACTTTCTTGAATATATTATTTATTAAATTGTACTCGCAGATTCACATTTATGTCCCGTAATTAGTTAAGTGATTTTACCAGTCATATTAAATTATTTGGTATTACATTTAATTTATGACCAAGGTGCGTAGAGGTCTGAATTCATCTGAATGCGCAACGCAGACATTGCCTTGTTATTTGGTCAAATTATTACCTATTATTTTATGATAATTATTAATTTTTTAAAGTTTGCCGACAAATGAGGCATAATGGGCAATTGCGGACCCTCAATTGGAATGACCTCGAAGCCGATAATTTAATTTGGAATTTTTCCTCCTTATTCTAACATTCGATTGAGCCTGAATAAATACTTCATGAATAATCGTGTAACAGTAAACTTAAATTTAACATTTAATAATTATAAAAACTTTGTACGGATGACGAATATAAAATTCTTGACGGATAAAGTTACATTTAAAATACAAAAATAGAAACTAAGACTCAATCTACTTTCACCCAACAAACAAACAAAACCAACGAACATTACATCACATAAAGAGCTCAGCTCGCACCTGAGATACTTGTAGAGGCGTTAAGACTATTTATTTATTTTATATGTGGCATGTGGTCGCAGTATGGAGAAATTGTGTGGTTTTAAAAGTTTGTAGGATGTTCCTTTCTTTCAGAGTTCTCTTTCAGAAAAAAGTTAAATGTCGTTTGGGTTATGGTTACTATTGTTACTTTGTCCAGATAAATATCATTATTGTTTGTTATAAATTTTTAGTGTTTTGTACGTTTAACTCACTCCCATAATCACTCATTTTGGAAGGTTTTATAAGAGATAATTTTAAAAACAAATCCCTTTTATTAAAAAAAAATAAACGGGAGCCTTCCAGGTCTTGGAACTGAGTTCAAACGTGATTTAATGTCTTTTATTTATTGTATTTATTATTTTCCTTTTAATACTTTCCCCATAAAAACAACACCTCCAAAGTGCCTTGGGTTACTAAATTAATGAGCTTTATTACCGTAAGTATTTATTTTATTTATTTGTCGTAATTTAATATAACATTTGCCGTGGTTTTATATTTCATTTTACTACTTGTGGTGTAACTTTTACAGATTCTTTGATGGGGGGGTTGTATACACTACAGGTACAGCGACAGCAGTGAGTGAAAGGTAATAATAATAATAAATAATAATAATAATAATAATAAACTTTATTTTCAACAGGAATACACCCAATTACAGGAAATGTAAAAAAAAGAAAAGTTAAGATAAAGATATAACAACATAAAAAAAAGTTAAATAGCAAGTATGATTACAAAAAAATATATATACATATATATACAGATACATAGTATATTAATCACAAACATGTTATTAAAGACTTTAAGGTATCAAAATTAATATCACAGTTGTAGCAAAAACTATTAAATAAAAAGCACATGTTGTTCACAGGTGCGCGACGTAGCATATTAGTACGGGGAGGATCAATTATAAATAAAACATTATTTCTGGAGTTGAATCTGGGTACATTAAATTTTAAACAATTTAGTAAATATGGACAGTTAATTTTATCATGACAAAGATTGTACAAGAATGAAATCGCTGCCACAACTCTACGCTTTTCCAACGAAATCATGTTGTGCCTGTCAAGCAAGATAGAATAATCTATTCCTCTTTCAGGGTATACGCGATCCTCTTTAAAGGTAAGGTACTTTAAAAACTTACGCTGGTTAGATTTCAGGACCCGAATGTAGGTTTCATAAATGGAAAACCAAATTAAGGACCCATACTTAAGCCTAACGAATTAAAAATAAATATTAAGCATTTGTTATCCTTAAAGTCCCTACAATTTCTCAAAATAAAACCAAGAGTTTTAAAGGAACCGGAAACCACATTGTTAATATGGTTAGTAAATGAAAATTGTTTATCAAATAGTATACCCATGTCTATCTCACCCTCACTTCGCCTTAATTGATTATTAGCAATGCTGTAACCAAATTCCATGATTTTTCTTTTCCTGGTATACGAAACCACGACACATTTAGAAAAATTTAACATTAATTTTGATGATTTACACCATTCATTTACTCTGTTAATAGAATCTTGCAATATCACACAGTCATCATAGGTATCAATCCTTTTAAAAAGCTTTAAGTCATCAGCAAATGCTAGCTTGTTGACGGTTATGGAACTTATAAGATCGTTAATAAAAAGGACAAAAAGTAAGGGACCCAAGTTTGAACCTTGGGGAACCCTGGGCGTTACAATGTAGCTACTGGATTGGAACCCGGCAACCTCAACATATTGGGATCTATCACTAAGATATGATCTAACTAGGGCAAGCATGGAGTTAGAAAAGCCAAAAAATGTAAGTTTTTGTAAAAGAACTTCATGATTAATTTGATCAAATGCTTTTACAAAATCCATATATATCACATCGACCTGGCCATAAGAATCAATAGTTTCACAGATATTCTGTGAAAGACAGGCTAAATTGACTGTACATGATTTATTTACCATAAATCCATACTGATCTTTACTAATTAGGCGCTTAGTCGCAGAGTACAAAAAATTATGAATAATGACTTCAAAAATTTTGGAAAAATTGCAAAGAATAGAAATTGCTCTGTAGTTTTGAACTATGCCAGGATCACCTTTTTTCAGTATAGGGCATACTCTGGCCATTTTCCAAATTTCAGGAAATTTCGAAGAAGATAGACAAAGATTAAAAATATGTTTAAGGGGATTAACAAAAACTCCAATGCAGTCCTTGACAATAAAACTAGGGATCCCATCAGTGCCTGCAGTATACTGCATATACCTATAGGTTTGTTACTAAGTTTTTTAGCAGCCTTCATAATATCAGAGTTAGATACAGTTTCGATGTTAATGTTACAATGATTAGAAATTTGTTCATCCCGCAAGTCGTTCAGGTCCGTATTAACATAGACGGATCGAAATTAACTGCCAAAAGCATTAGCTATATCAACGGGATTATTATAACAATAATTGTCGTCTTTTATTACATGTACACCAGGAATTTTTGAAGCGCCTTTTTTAAGGTTAACAAAATTCCAAAATCTACCGACCAAAGGGTGTTTCAAGTATGCTCACACACCCCGGCTATCCGACACTGATGAGGTCTAATAACAAGCTTAACACGTTCACTACCGCCGTGTTACAGCTGGTCGCTTGTAATAAACCAACTTCGACATCTTTTGAACCCATAAACTGGCGTAGGAAATAAACCTGAGTCACTGTAAATAAAGCCACAAAAGTGAACCAGAGGCCACTTAACTGGCCGTGCGCGCGTTATAGACCGAAGACAACATACAAGTCACCACTTGTGACCCAGCTAAATTTATATTGCACCTAAGTAAGATTAAATTTGAGGCCAGTATAGTGGCCGCGGTTCATGGTGAGCCAACCGATTGGACACTATAGTGGTCGCCGGTAGTGAACGTGTTAAAGCAAAGACACGGTGACGAGGTCCAGTTCCCCCTAATTTTGGGCACTGGAAAACCTTTTTTTGATCCTGTAAGATTGTTGTTTATTCCTGTTAAGTTCGTTATTATAAATACAATTATTTAAATCCATTCCCTATATAGATATAATA